TCCTCTCATGGCTAATATACTTGGGAGTCTGGGTCCAAATATTAAGGTCATATTTTACCAAAACTGCTTTTGATTTATATTTTTTGTTTGAATACTGAAACAAAATAATTTCAAAGCCTATTCAGTGTCAGTGCAGTGAACAGCACTCGACCACCTGGACTCTGCTGCATTTGTTCCTCACATTTGTGGAGTGAAACAGTGACCATTTTCTTCCTCTGGAATCTGAAGCTTAACACCAAGCAGTGTGTCCAAGCAGCTGCTGACCAGTGCACATCACTTTGTTGAGCCCATCTGCAGCACTGTGCTGTACCCGTGTCTGTTGTCTCTCAGGGGCTCACAGAGAAGACCTCATGTGCAGTCTCCCGCTGGGGCTTCTCTCCCAGCACTTAATGTTTGCCCCAGGAGCATTCCCTTGCAGTAATGCAGGCACAGTATTGCCTTGTGTGACATATGAATGATTTGCTCCTTCACTGGTGGGTATTGTGCTGTAATGGACAGAGCTGTTCAAATGTAACAGATGCTGCTGATCAGTGGTTCAGCAAGACTGTCCAGGGTACCATCCCACTTCTGTGTTTGGAAATGGGAGAGTAAGTCTGAGTGGGTATGGGGGGAGGGTTATAGGGGGTGTAGAGTTGTATGGCTATGTGTCTCATCCCTGACAGTGTTCTAGTACCACAGACATACCTCTAACTCCAAAAACTTTCAGAGTGTAGCTGTCTGGACAACAAACACATTCAATTTTGCTTCTGTTCTATCAGAAAAAAAGAAGGAGTTAACCCAAGTGCTGTCATCATCATAAATACAGCTTGGAGAGGGAGGCAGCTAAGTCACTAATCCATTCTGAATTCAGGCTGGTGATGCAGAGAGAAAAGCGTATGTGGCCAAGAAGAAAAACACTGTGTATATCAAAACACACATGAAGAAAATTAGCTTGAGAATGGGAGATGCTGAACATAAGAGAAGAAAGCAAGAGAATAGAACCAAAGATAATAAAAATAAACAGCCACAGCCAGACTCAGATGCTCTCTCCCATTAGAGATGACTTAACCAACACGCGTTGCCTCACTGGGAAGCTATGCAGGCAGGTGTGACTCAGGATCAGTCCAAATGCGGCCTGTTGTTCTATCCAACATGAACGTTAAAATATAGAAGTGAATAACTGTATTTTGTACCTGAATTAGTAATTGCAAGGAACTGATTCCAACATGCTTTAGGGATTTAGCCATGGAAATCCCACTGACCCTCAGTAGTGCTTATGCACCTACATTCCTTAGGCACTTTAGAAAATCTATGTGTATGTATTGGGCTCAAGGGAAAAGTCCACTGCTATTATTATAATGTGACTATGATTTTAAGATCCTGTAACATACTCAATTTTATACAAATTTACACAGTAGTACTTGTCAGGTTAGGGTTGTTGCCATCAAAGCGTAAAGTTCAAATGGGTGTGAATTACTGAGACATAACGTTGTACTTTGAATTATGTCTTTTTATATTTACATGAGAGTGTCCTTTCTGAGTCACATCTGGTTTTTGTGCTGTTTACAAACTGCTCTAAAAAGCTGAGCTGACAATATTTGCAGTTAGTTCAGTATGTCAAACAGAGGAATAGAATTTAGCTCTATTCTTAAACCATGATTATTTATGTAGCAGGCATGTTGGCCAACAAAAAGAATGAAAGCTGACGGGCATGAAAATAACCAGTCTGCTCGTACATGAGTCTTGCTTGCAGTAGTCCCAGCAGGAGCTTGAAGAGGACTGTGTAAATTGTGAAACAAAGGGTGCATAGTTAATGCATGCCAGAGATGACCATTTGTGGGGCTACTTAATGCTACAAATCCTACATAGTGGTGAGGCTGTGAAAGGGCAGAAGGAACTCAGGAAGCTACAAGATCATGTGTGTCCATGCTCAGGGAACATGTACCCTGAGTTGGCACGGAGTGTGGGCTGGTACACCGTTACCAGTTTAACCTAAAAATTCAGAATGAGTACAAGAAGACGTAGCTGTTCAGATTATGCACACCCATAGATAAATTAAGGGAAGATTAAAACAAATTACAGTTGTGAAATGAGGTAATCAGAAATGTGAATTTGTTGGTATCGTGTCAACTACATGCCTTAATCTGATGCCTACAGGCATACCCATTGACACATGGACTGTGAGAACTGTTACTTGATCACATATAGTGGTTTCCACGGGGTGCTTACCCTGTTTATTGAACGGCTTGTACAGAGATTGATGGATGAGATAGATGATCAATAATTAGTTTTAATATTGTTTTGTTAAGAAATGACTCTTCTGTTATTTTCTACTGGCCAGTCCTCTCTCTAATGATTTTAAATATACTGGACAATCTAATCTAAACTTGACGTGGGAAAGAGGGGGATAGTGTGTGTGCTCAGAATCTTGCTAAATCAGCTCATCCAGCATATTAGACATCAGAGAATCACTAACTCAGAGTGAAGCAGGTTCAGTTAATACTGCATTTCACAGCGTGTTTGGATTTGTGCTACTCATACACAGTCACAGCAGTAGGCATACACCAGATAAGGAATTTTCCCAGTACCATGGACTTTCTTCTGGCAACTGCTCCTCTATCAACTGAGTATCTTGCAAATACAAAGTAAGCTTTACAGTGATAAAGGGAAAGATAAGTGTTATTATCTGCATGCTGTGGAAGAGGATCTAAACATACGGTTCCACCAATTTTGGGTGCTTCAACTATACTTTGTATAAAATAGGACACAACTGGATTTTTCTGATGTGCCAAGCACTGGCTGTTCTCAGACAGAGCTGAGACAAGTCAGAACCACTGACAGGACCATCCATCCCATGGACTTAGGAATGCATGTTTCACAGTACTGCTCTTTTGCACTGCTGTGTTGTATGAGTGTGTCTTTGCTAGAACTCGTGCTGTTTGGTGTGACTTGCCTCACTCCTTGTATACCTATGTGACTCTATATAATGCAGTGAACTCAGATGAGGCTGGAACCTGAATAAATAGGGAGTATATTACTGCATTTTCAACACAAAGTGGAAATTGTGGAAAGGTGAGAATCTTGGCACTGAGAGCATGAAGAACAGCTTACTCTATTAAATAGCAAGCTATGATGAGAAGCAGTTTGTCCACTGTCAATATCTCACCGTGTCTCTTGTTCTCCCTGCCATCTACCTTTCTCAAACTCACATTCCTGAAGCCCTGCAAACTCCTTATCTTCCATGATTCATCTCCCAATGCCAAGGCAGGCTGGTGGATTAAAGCAGAACTTTGTCCTTTGGCACGTGTGTTTCTCTTATCTTCCTTTCTTTAATTTTTTTTTTTGCTTTCCCCATGGGAAAAAGTGTTTGAGGCAAGTATTTCTTAGGCCTCTCTTAATGTGCCTGTCTAGAGGGGAAATGAAAAAGGAATAAAACAGACAAAGCTTGAAAACTTTTACAAAGATGAAACCAGAAGGGCATTTATTACAGTAAAAATGCAGTAGGATGAACAAAAGGATCACTCTGGAACACCTTGCTGGTATGGCCATCTCCTTGATGTCAGAGGTTATTAATTTGTGGAGAATTTTATGAAATCAGGATACAAAATATTTCTCATATTTTAGCTACTTCTATTAAAACTGTCAGTTCAAAATTACCAAGATTTATAAATTAATTTCTAATTGGTCTAATCCTCTTATGAATACTATAGAGTCATCTATAAAATCTACTAAAAGATACATAATTATAAAATCTTGATCTAAATAGGCAGTTGGAAGCTGCAGTATGAAACTTATCTGACCTGTTCCTTATACAGGAAATATTCTGCTATATGATTCTTTTCATTGCCCTATATATCATTCTGTTACCTACAGACTCAAATCGTCAACTTTGTGTAACTCTGTATAAAGTGCAAAAAGGGAGAAAGAAGACTGCAAATATTTTGCTAATACGGTGATGAAACTGAAACTTTTCTTATAAAACTACTACTGAGCTATTTCAGGTTTATGATATATGTAACGCTATGCAGTCAAAATGAAGGTGCTTCATCCCATATTGCACTGCTCTTGATATAAATAAAATTTATGTGCAATATTTTATTTATTTTCATGAGATTAATCCAAGAGCAAAACTGCATGATCTTGTATGGCAACATAACTTTGTATTCATAGCTGATTTTTTTTCCCCTTAACACAGAAAAATAATGTGGATTGATGCAGTGTCCTAACACAATAGGGGCTAATGAATAGAGTGTGCTGCACTCAAGAGACTGCAGTTCAATTACTAGTGGTGCCAATCAAGTCAGAAATATTAACCATGGTAACAGCAGATTTGAGTTGTGTGGAATGAGGCAGTGGCTTCTTGGGGACGATTGCCTCTTGGGAGGGAAGGGGATGCTCGCAGCAAGAGTTGCAGAAGGTCAGAGAATACTTCTTTGTGGCAAAGGAGAGCAATATTCAGCTCATGCCCAGGGAGCTTTGTGCTGTTTGCCTATGCTTCTGTTGCGAGTGTGCCCGAGAGGTCGTAACAAGTAAGTGTGACTAACTATGGGGCCCATACCATGTGCATAACCTACAGAAATGTATTTCCTATGTATAAGTGTACAACGTATTAGTTAATCATGTGAAAGATAAATTTCAATGCAGATTAGGTCCTAAGCAAGAGTAAAATATTACTGAAGTCAGTGTGATTGGGCTGAATTATACCAATTGAAACTGTAGCCTTTTATGAGGATTTACTTAATATAGTGCATTTGTTCTGCTGTCTGATGATCAGAGTGAGGATCCCTTGATTTGATACAATGGCAGTGTTATGTATTAGTAGCATGAACAGGAAGCAGCTGGCGTCCTGTTCAGAAAACAATCTCAGTTTTTATTGCAGAGAACAATATTGAAAAACAGTGTGTGTGTGTGAGGGGCCTAATCCTTAAAAATGCGGGAGTTTGGATACTGTCCCTTTTCATTGACTAGTCACTTCTGGACTAAATCTAGATTCATCTCTTTTCACAGAAAGCTCTTCTGGTGTCAGTCCTTTGGAATACAGAGAAAACCGGCTAGAGCCCCAGAATGGCTATCTTGCACCTGCCTGCTGCCTCTCCTTCTCTTCCAGCTGGTGAGTATGCTCAGTTGTGGAGTGCTATTCCCTTTCTCTTATTCATGAAGAGATGGCACATCTTTTTGGATCAACATCGCTGAAACATTTCTTTATCTTGGATGCTATGAAAAAAAGCCAGCTGTTAGGGATGGTTACTGTGTTGTAGAAGCTTAGCTCCATTATTAACTCAAACTACTGTAAAAATATAGGATGGATTTCTTAATAACTGAGAGTAATACCAGCCTATAAGTGAATTTGAATGTGTCTGCAAAGCTGGTGAAAATAATGTGTATTTAATACCTTTTTCTGAGGATTTTGGAATGTGCAGTAAATATCATCGTGTCTCTGTAGGACAAATAGGTGTAGTGCCTGGACAGGGTTGCTGGATCATAAAGGTTCCTCATGTGTAGTTCAGCCATCTGAAATGTAGTCATTCTAGTCTAGTCTTATCACTTTAAGCCCTTTTTATAGGCAAACACCTTGCAATCTGGGGGGATGTTTCACCTCAACCATCTCAAAAGTTGTCCCAGGTTGAGAGGAAAAAAGCTTTCCACTGCCCAGAAATGGAGCTCAGGGACACTTCATCAACCCATGTTTGGTCTTTAAATCTGGGTGACATGGAGTGGCTTGTTGAATGAGTCCTGTCAAGTTAAGAAAACCAGCAGTAAATGACGTGAGGGCAGGCAAAGCTGTTTAGTAACTGAGGCTGTCCCGTGGCTGCTAGGAGGTTGAATTTTAATCTCACTTTTAACACTGTTGTCTATTTGACCCGAGACAGGGTCACTTTTCACCATTAAGTCTTTTTCACCTCTCTTCCTCCTCCCATACTTTGCCTGTCTTGAGTATTGAACATTTATTTCATGTGGGAGACAGTCCCCTTTTCCTCCTAATGAAGACTGAATCCCAGTGTCTTACTCATAGTAGAAAATGTGAGCCATCTGGTTAAGATATCATGCTAAAAATGCTCTTAAGTCATTGCTGTTTCAATTGCATAAGTGGCTTAATCAGTGGAGGAGGATGAGAAGCCACTTGTCATGTTTCTTAGAGCCGTGCTCTAACCACTGGGCTAAACCATGATTTACTCACTAGATTGATGAACAACCAACTATTGTGAAACACCACAAGGAACAGGTTGAGGAAGCTAGTACTCAAGTTGATTTGACATTCTGTTGTTAAGACATTTGCTTGAAAAATGCAAGAACCACATTCAGGTCATGTTATGACTGGTTCAGAACAGTTCCTGAAGCCAAGGCAGTCTACAGGCTCAGTAGCCATTAGGCTACTGGGCTATTTTCATGTCAACTCAACGAATATTATAATAACAGTAAAGAGTGGCTGAATACTCTGAATGCCTAGTTCAATGTCTAAGGCATTCTCTTTGGAGAAAAATGGTTTGGGTTCAAATAGTGTTTAGTAAAGGACAGAACTGAACCAGCCTCATGTGTCTGGGCAGAGCTGTAATTACTGGAAGAGAGTACAAAACCAGAGTAATAGATAGCAGCATTATCAGCATCTAGCTCTCAAACCCTTATTCCACTTCTTCAGTGCAAATCCAGAAATAATTTGGGATTACTGAAATTATACTTATTGTCAAATGCTGTATATTATTTCACCTGAACTTGATTTGTCATGGAATCAGCCCACAGTGCCTACTGAGTTGCTAGTACTGAACACTTTAGTAGGCAATGTGTGAAAATACAGGAAACAAAAAATTAGAAAATATGCACCCTATATTGCATCCTTGGCTCTGTTGTCTTCAGTGGAACATGCTGGATTATCCAAGATCTTCATTCCTTTATTTCCTATTTTTCTCCTTCTCTAATGAAGAGAACCTCTTTATCATATAACCTCAGCCATTTTGGCAGACCCATAATTGCACTATTCTCTACAGTGAAAATTGCTAATAATCTGTAAATGAAAAGGCACCATCTCCAAATTTTTCTTCTTTCCCTCCAACAAATGTAGTTAAAGTAACTGTTTTTTTGGAACCCTTCCCCCTCACCTGAGTGGAAGCATAGGAAAGGAAATCTGTTTAATCTTCATTCTCATGCTTTCCTGATTTACCTGGCTGCTCTTGGGAATTTAAAGGAAAACAGTTCAATAATGCAGAGGAAAATTACAACCTAAGTTTTATGCAATGTTTTAGGGTAAATGAGATTCCACTGTTATTATCCCTCACCATTGTCTCTCTTCAGCTTCTGTCTGCCATATGAAGAAATGTGCTCTCTTACTAGCAAGGTATTTGTGGTAGAATATGGATTTAATAACAAGGTAAGTTTTATTTCTGACCTAATAACTAACGTTAGTTGAATGATATTCAGGCCAGATCTACTAACAACAGTATATCCTTTGTTTTTAACAATATTGCACTCTCTATAAAGAAAGAAAATATCTCCATAACAAACAAAAAATCCCAGCAGGCCAACCAACCAAATAAAAACTGAGGGCCCTGAGTCTAGTATAAGCCTCATAAATGGTTCTTCATGATTTTTTTTCTTATTGAGAAAGGTTAGGACAATAGTTTCCCTTCAGAAAATGTTTGCCATCAAAGAATATGAGCTACTCCGTTATTTCCTTGTTTGAAACCACAATTCATGATGTCCAATATGATTTTGCTGGGCCTTTTAAATGATTGCAGGTTACAAGCTATCAATAATGTACATCCTTGTAAAAGGCACAGACCCACTTTAGCTTCTTTTGCACATCAACATGAGGTTTCTCACTGTCTTGAGCCTGAGTAAGCATTTACAATAGAGTCATGCTAGAGTGGCAGCAATATGCTGTGCTTGGTGGAAATATGCCTATGGAGCTAAATCATTCTTTTAACAGGTGAAAGTGAATTCTGTAGTATAAACACAAAAGAACATGAGCTTCACAGAGATGATAAACCATAAGCTCAGAGGCTGGTGGAACCTAGCCTTCAGCTGTCATAAAAAGGAAAGAATTACTGTCTTGAAATTGGCATAAAGAGCTGAAGTGAATATGAGGCAGAGGAAGATTAGAAGAGTGTGGAAGTGGGAATTACCTTACTATTGTGACAGTAATTTACCTGCAGTGCAGGTGTCCTAGGAAAATAGAATGTCAGAGCCCTATGGGAAGCTGCACATATCTAAGAGGGCAAAGTAGGGTGTCTGCTTGAGGCAGGAGTGGGACAAACTATGGTCTGCCTTTATCTTACCCCTTGGCTTTCAGCTGAAATGCTTTCTGCTCCAGAAGCCCCTTATTTTAGGAGGCTTAGTGTTTTCTTGTGTCTTTATCTGGCCGGTTGTGGAGATGACACAGACTTTTATGTCCAGTCTACTGCAGAGAAACTGGGAACAGAATAGGTGACACTGTAGCCAAGAGGAGGAAAACAGTACAGCAGACAAAGAACAGCCAATACATATCAGGAATTTGAAGAAACCAAATTTTTCCATTACCATGGTAATCATATTCGTTAACACAAATTTCAACACCATAGTCTTTCCTATTTAATAGCTAAGAATGGAATGTAGGATATAAAGGGTAGTGAACTGGATAATGGAGAGCAGATCTCAATGCAAAGAGTAAATGCAATCAGAGATTTGTGTGCATATAGATCTTCCTCAAATAGAATACAACCTTGTTAGCATGGAGAAGTTTCCTCAGTGCTATTATCCTTATGAATACAAAGAGTTAGTCAGACTGTTATTTTGTTATGTGCTTGACTAGCTCTTGATCTTTCCAAAACAACAGAACCATGATCTAGGCCCCAGAATCAGTCAGGAAGAGTGGTTTGAAGACTTGTGGAGGTGTGTAAATACTAAACTGTTTCAAATGGCAGAGAAATGATTCCATTTTTATAAAAGCAATGTGGCTGCTATTATTATCATTTGTATAACAGTCCTGCAGTTTCTTCACAATTTGTACAGATGTGTTCAATTTCAGTCATTTGCCCTGTCAGTTTTTCTGATGCATGGTACATCATTTTCTTTAAGATGCCTAAGTGGTGGTGATTAGTGGTGTGTGATGAATGAACAAGGAAACTTTACTTTAAAAGGAAAAATTCTATGTGTTCTATATGTGAAAGTAAAACATAGACTCTCCATTATAAATTACATGTTACTGTAGTTCCTGCTTCATGTTATGTTGAAGCACCACAGCCCAAACAACGTTCAACATGTGTGATGACCATAAGATATTAAAGTAGAAGCAGAGGGCCATATATCAGAGTGTCAACATCAGTAACACCCAGTCAGTTAATCTCTAGCAGCCTCAGGTACAAGTTAGATTACTCTGTAAGTATGTGTGCAGTCTCTCTCTTTTAGCAGGAATTTGATGTAAGTATGAACTTTCTGATGTAAAATCAGAAAACAAGAACTGTACATTAAAAGCATTAGCAATAATGCTGGAATGCTTTAGCTCATTTGGTTTGCTGAGTTTAAAGTGATGGCTGTTGAAATGTTTAGCTCTGCCATTTCCTAGTGTCTCTGCAAAGGAAGAGTAAACCATGATATGGTTTTCATGTCCTTCAAGATGCAAGGACCTGGCTGTGAAGAGCAGCTGATCACTGATCTACTCACACTAGAATATCAGAAGGTTAGAGGGAATTTGGCATTAGCTTCTCAGCTGGTACAACGGAGTTTAAGTGACTGCTAGATACACGTGCTTAGCAATTCCTCATTTCCATTTTGAAAGGTCTCCTATAGTAACAAGTGCTGTGAGAACAACTATGGCTTGTAGATCATTTTGGTGGTGATGTAGTTGTAGGTTAACATGATGAAATATTTCTACATTGTGCCCATGGAACTGCAAGAGTGACCCATAGCATGGATAAATAAATAAAGAGAGAAGCCAAGCTTTGACAGGCTATATCCAGTAATGAAAGGTGAATAAAATCCATCAAGAATTCTGAAGGAATTGTATTCCTTTCCTTGGCTTGCTTCACCTAGCTTTCCTTTCCTTTTCACCAGGAAACAGAGGATGGAATCACAAGATCTAGATTGGAATCACAAAATCTGAGGAAAAGATGTATCTGTATGCATAGTGCCAGACTAAAATCTATTCTATTAAACAAGATAGGCTCAGAAATTGAGAGAAGATGACTCCTAGTTCTCCCAGGAGGTTTCAATGTCTTGAGATAAATGGAAAAGCATCCCAGGACATATAAGCAGCCAGCTTGGTGCTCCCTAAACAAAGAAAAAAATCTAACATTGATTGTCCCTGGATGAAGTTGGTGGGAAATAAAGCAATATGACCTACTATTACCTAGGTGGCTGCTTCCTCTGACATAGCTGTTTCCAGAATGTAAATGATGAGGAACAAATGTCACCAGTCCCATGTCCAGTAGATCAGTAGTTTTGTATTCACCAATGACCAGTGGTGTCAATGAATGAAGTCATGGGAGGTGGTCTGCAGATGAAATCTGGAAATATATTTAGAATTATTTTCAGAATTACCTTCAAGTAGAAGTTAGATTATAGGATTGCATACTAATTTTGATTAATCTGAATGACAGCAATGATCCATTGCCCCTAAATGTTTGGGAACCACCTGCTGGAAGGCAGTATGTCTCAGAGAAGTGTTCTTGTTCGCATCTAGAAAATGACTGAGATAGTTAAGAGTTTGTGCTGGTTTGGGTTAAAGAGCTCATGAGTGGCCCAGAAATTGGAAGAAGGGAAGGCTCTGTATCAAGATTACTGGTTGTGTAAGTAAAGCAAAAGAGAGTCAGAAATATGGCAAATGAGGATGAAATCCACTGTTTGAGGGACTGAATACTACTAATAATACTATGTCATCTTGGAAAAATTATGTCACCTTTGGAATCCAGGCATTAGTCAGCTTTTCTGGCACTGCCATATCATTTCAGTCACATTAATTTTTGGGAATGGGCTAGATTTATGGCATCAGCATCCATTTTATAGAACAACTAGCAGAATACTCATGTCACTTCATTTTCTCCTTTTCTTTCTCAGAAATGTCAACATTTCCCTGGATGAAGTTGTTTATGCGTGATGAAACTTGTTCAGTATTCTTGTATCTCTTCTTTGTGCTTGAGACAGAAGCCACTGTGAAGCTCCACTGAAACAGTAGACACATGTGTGGACTTAGATGTACTGGAGAACACTCACAATTACATCTACCTGGGCTTCACTGTTGAGAACAGAGACGTCCACCAGAAAGAAAGAAATGACACTGCACAAAAAAACCCCAACTTTCTTGTCTTCTCTTTTAAAAGGGTAGATGATAGATAGAAATCAAGTTGGTATGCAGTTCCTCCAACAGCTTTATTAATATGCTTTTTTTGTTCTCGTAACCATGAAGAAAAGTTAAACAACCAAGAGACGAAGGTTTTCACTATAGTAACCATGAAGAAAAGTTAAACAACCAAGAGATGAAGGTTTTCACTATAGCAGTGAATAGAGATTGTGTGCCTTTTTCCTTCAGCCTTTTAAAACTATCAATAGCTTTTCTAAAAATAAGAAAAAATAAATTTAATACATTCAATGTTTGTGATAAGCCAAGTTTAGGTTTAAAATGTTAAAGTATTTCCTTGCAATTAGAGGTAATAAAAAGTATGTAGAATGGCAAAACTACCATGCACACCACTTTAGTCTAGCTTCATGAAAGATGTTTGCCTTGCTAAACACTTAACTATATTGACAGTGGAGCTAAGATGCCTTGCGATCAGGCATTGTTTGATCAGGCAGTTCTTGTTTTACTGTACATAGCTAGAGAGTTGCTTTAAATACAATAAATAAAAGTAAAATCTTACACAAGGCAGCACAGCTTAGTAATTGCTGTTTTGGAGCTCACGTCGCTGCAGTTATTTAGCTCAGCATTTCATCTCCAGCTGCAGCACAGTTTTTGCCAAATATAGATAAATGAATTTAAAGTTATTGGCAATGACTAGTTCTGTATCCCTGTTTCAAGTTCATAGATTTCATAGGAAAGGCCTTCCTTTATTTTTGTAGCAAGCAATTGTTTTGAATTCCAAACTTCTTTACATTCCAGTACAACACAGTGTTTTCAGTTCTACTTTAACAGGCAGATACTGGTAAACAGAGAATGAGCAGGTTCCCTGTTTGAGAAATATACCACATGAAATGTGAGGAGGAACAAGCTCAGAAACTGAACCTCACTCAGCATATTTTAGGGGTTTAATGTAATTTTGGTAGTGAATTTGCAGACAGTGCCTTTCAGCATGGGGTGTCTAACTCCACAGAGTGCTAATTTCATTACTTTCTACATAGTAGGAGATGACCTGGTAGCATAGTCTGCTGCATACCATCCCTCTCACTACAAACTATGTACAGGTGACTTTCTGTTTTCTTTAGACCTTCCATAGAGAACAACTTCCATATGAATTTAACAAATGAGACAATACAAATACAAATACACGTACCTAATAGATACATTGTATTGAACATGTACTAAGTCACTATAGAAACATTTATTATGAAAAATAAGAATTGTGAAAGTTAGAAATATACTCCTATTTCTTCATATTCATTCAATTCTATTTCCTTCTTACACTTGCAAACACATTATATTGTCATTTTTACAGCTATCTTGTGTTTATTTGTAAGCAAGTAAGGGGGATCAGAAAATGCAGGTGTTTCCCTTTGACCCACCTGGCTGCTCTTCCTTTCTGTTCAAAGGCAACCAGAACTGTCTTACTCTCCAGAAAGCAAACTCCTGGAGCTTTTATTTAGTATGCATGTGCATGGCAAAACACATCTCAAAAAACATTGTGAAATGCTGTAGATATGGAAAGGAGAAGGCACTTCCTTCTTCATGTCCAAACACTGGCCTAGAGTTTCCATATTAAAAGCATGTGCAAATCTTTTGTTGTATGCTACTTTTGCTGTGATAACTTCACTTGGGATCATAGCTTCTGAAGTAGTAAACTCTAAGTTTGCAAGTGAGATTTCAAAGGAAAACTGTATTTTCAGAATTAGGAGAGCAAGCAATTTATTTTTTTTTGCCTGATAATTTTCCCTGATTCGTGCAGAGTGACTGGTTTCAGCCAAAGAAAAGGCTTCTCCTTTTTGTGATTTCTCACCAGTTTCACCGACACTGTGAATTTCACTTCGCAGATCCTATGTCACCCTTTTTTCCAAATAAAACTTGGGAGGTTCAGTGAAGTTACAGGCTTTTAATTGAAAACAAAACAAAACAAAACAACCACAAAAACTCCCAAACTCCCGAACTACCTAACAAAATAATTGCTGCTGATAACACAGCAGCAAATGAGAAACAGATATTTGTATTTGCCTGCATATTATGGAAAAGGGCAAATATGTTTCATTAGCTAACACAGAATAGCTTTCAGTAGATGTTATTAAATGATCCACTTCTTAGATTTCACTCATTTTGATATTACTTTAGAGAAGTTCAGCTAAGAACATCTCTTAGCTCTTTTGAAATTCATGTGTTCTCAAAATGTAGGGTGTAGAACTTCTTCCTATGCTATAAATATAGCATTTGCTCTTGTACTGGGCTTTTTCATTGAAACAACTGAAGCATATTACAAGTAGAGTGAATTAGGAATGATAGGGTTTTGAATATAAGAAATGTTGGTGAAAACAATATTTTTCAGTTTTGAAAATATTTTTATTACAAAACCAGAACTTCTTTTAAAGACAACATCTTTTTTCTTGAAGTGTCTCTTGTGGAAAAAAGGTACAGTTTCCTTTGGAGAATAAGAAAAATATTTCTTCTTCACTGAAAGGCATAACACAACAATAAATTTCCAACACAAAATTAATAATTATATTAAGACCACTATTTAAGCCTCATATTCTCTCCATAATGGGTGAATTATATGTATTTTACAAAGGGTTTGACAGAGCTGTTACTAGTTCTTTAGGTTTATAAGGTGAATTGGTGCAGTCACAACAGAACCATAAGTTTCACATCCCCATCTCCTGTTCACAGTACTAAAACAGTTGAAAGTAGTACTTTACAATATGAAGGAGAGAAACGAGCTTTTTCCAGTATGATTCTCCTTTCTCATGAGAGCAACAAATAATAGCAAATAACAGTTTTGATGTTCCAGCCAGTTTCCATAGGATTGTTATTCCTGTTGCTAGTATTGGTGAAAGTTTTCACTGGTGGACTCAAAGAGCACTTTTTCTGAACATTTTATAGAAGTACAACTCCAATAAATGCAGTTATCCCTAATTTATACCAATAAATGAGGTAGGTAGGGATCAGGCTTGCTGCTCTATACTGAAGAGGAGCTATTTCATTGAACTGGGTGAGTATCTCTGGTTCATACTGTTTCCTATGGGTTGAAGTTGACTCCCACAGATAACTGTACTTTCTCATGGCTGCTCATACATGTCATTGCCCATGTGGTCCAGAATGTGTTTTGGAATATCTGATTCTAGCTGTTTTTTGCTGAGGAGCACATCAGGCCATGCTCCCTACATCTCTGCTGAAACCCACATATGGCCAGGCCCATTCTGGTGCCTTATGGTCAGAGGGTGAAATTTCACAGTCAAATGTAACCATTTCTCATTCTGGTTATTTTCATTATAATTAATCAACCTGACTAGAAGTCTGATCTGGTCTCATCAGCTATGTAGTTGGAAAGCAGAGAGAAAAAACAGAGCATTTTTGATATTGTGGCTACATTCCTTTGGTGTATCCCTTCTGGAGAGAGGTTTACCACTGGGTCTCCTGTTTGTACATAGATGGCTGCCCTCCTCCTTTGAGTGACACAACAACAACATGATGTGAAAACAAAGTGAAAAACTCCCAAGAATGTTGCTCTCTGAAGCACATGTGCACATACAAATGCACACAAGTGAATTTGTTTATGCACTCAGGCACATGCAGGCATCTGCACATGCACAAACTCACGCCCTGTCACATTTGGCTCGATAGCCAGCGTGGTTAAATAATGTCAATAGCAGAAAGTCTTATGGTGCTGACACTTCCTCGGACTGTAAAATATTTACTGTTCCTTTAAAACTGTGAATAAAAAAAGGTCAGTCTGTATACCGAACAAGGAGTAAAAAAAAATAAAAATCCTTTTTTTATTAGAAAACACTTGAAACTTATCATGTGCAGCAGATGGGAGTAGAAAATGCAGCTTGAAGACAGTTATATAAATATATCCTTGATGTCTGTTTTGCTTTTCAATTTGCAGTGAAAAGTACAAAGGTAGAGTCGAGCGCCAGTCAGGGCTGCACTGTGTCTCTTGATATCCATTCCAGATGTTGGCTAGACTTTGTGGAGCCAGGCTTATGGCACTGAGGCTGGAGCTAGTTGTCTTTTCCTCCAGGTGTGATGCTTCATGCTGATCCCCCCACATGCTAGCCTGTCTTATCCAAACACACTAAGCTCTGTGACAGGCATCTACCACCTTTTTGACCAAAATTCACCTCCCTTCCCCCCCACATCCACGCTTTCCACCCACCTCAACTTCTTTCAGCTTGATGGACTCTGCAGACAAGCCCACTTGTCCCTGCCTATCATTCTGTCACTTCAAAAGCAAGTCCCCCTAAAAAAATGAGCTCTGACGTTGTTCTCAAATAATGCTAGTCAGTTAGTAGCTGCTTTGAATATTCCTCTTTGTGTTTTGAGAGTGTCTGGAGGTACTATTTGACACCGACTATGTCTGCCAAGCCTCTAATGGTAGTGCTCTGTTTGTGCATGCTTGTAAAGGATTTTACACTGTAATATTTTAACTCCCTGATTAAACATTGCTAAGCACAGAAGTATATCATAAATCTTGCAGGCGCCAACTCCATTTATCTGAATGTTAGTTACTGTCTATGGTGGGTAAACAAATTACAGCACAGTTTATTACAATATATGGGGCCACGATGTAGCTCTATTAATATCTTGTACCCCCTGGAAATATATTGTTGGCTCACAGTCTGAATTTTCTCTCCTGAACAATTAAAAACAAATTCTGAATGGAGGGTGGGAGGGTGTGTGTGAGAGGAAGGGGGAAGCATCAGGCACTTTCAAGGGGAAACTTGCTGGGAGTAACAATAATGAGCTGCAATATCAAATTACTACTATCCTGGGTTTGAGGTCAGTACATATTGAGCTAGTTGTAAGATATTAAAGTAAAACTTTTCTAGTTTGGAATGCATTAATGCTGCTAAAGCTGCCAGCAAAACAGCTAGAAAGCATTTGAGATGGAGAGGGCAGAAACAAAAGAGAATGTTAATAAGCAAGAGCATTGGAATCTCTTCCTTTCCCAGCTACATGCATCATGTTTGCAGAAGTCATTCTCATTAACACTAGCAGGTTTGAGGTGCACAGATCTTCCACTCATTGA